AACTATTTATCATTGTTTCACCTGCCACTCTTATCATGCGTATTTCTATAATGCACTCTTCCTTGGTGTACTTTTCATTTATCAGGCTGTGATCCCCCTTACGCCTCTCCTCCGCCATGAACTCCTGTTTCTGTACGGCCTCTCTTTGTCTTCTGCGTGTCAAACCCGTACCATCGAACATAGGATTTATCGGCAACGCAGCTTGCATCACCCAAGCGTACTAACCCTAAGAACATGGGCGTCGTTGTCATGACGGAGAATTGTGTGTGACGACGGTGCCGCCATGACAGTGGTGAAAGAACGGACGGACACCGATCGCCTATAACCCGATGTAGATACCGCAGACGAGGCGAAGACTCTCACCATCATCGACCCTTGAGTGCAAAGGTTACGCTTAACCTCTTGTTGCATCTACAGAGAGGTGTGCTTCGAACCTCTCGTTGGCGCGAGCCAAAGGAGTGTGTAGACAAGAAGCCATTGGGAGCGCATCCTGCTGATTGGATGACGCTTCAACTTGATGGCGAGTAGACAAGCTTGCGTACAAATTGATCGACGTCAGAGCATTTTCGTGTCGAGGGCACCTGCGTGCTATGAGGTTGAGACGGCCGACCACCGACACAGCAAACGCTAACTCAGGAGGCACTAACTGGTTGTATGTTGCTAGCGCAAGGATGGGGGACTTATCGCGCCTCCGGGGTTCGACAAAAAAACCAAACGTGTTTCAGGGCTTCCGGCTGAATGGCATCAGAGACATTTGTTTTCGAAGGACAAAGGAACGGTAAATCCTCCAGAGACCGTATCGGTCTCTTAGAGGATTTTTGTTGTGGTCACAAGGTCCTATTGTGCACTGCGAAACCGACACATGTTGTGGCTTGAACTTGCTGCCCCTTTCACCGGTCAATTGTTCAACAACAACCACAAAAACAGGTGTTTGTGGGGAACCTCTGCATACCGTGCAGCCCCTGTGCATTCGATGAAAGGAAACAGTCTTCGTTCATTGTAGGACGCATCATCTTGTGCCTCTCCGCTTCTTTGCTTTAGGTCCGCTTCTTGACGCGGCGATGACCCTTGTCGCTCGTATATGGTCGAAGTACAGCGGGAAGACGAAGACTTACTGGGTGAATTAATGAAAGTCGGCGGGGCGGCGGAGTATTCACCTCGAGGCACATGCACAAGGCTGCGGAAACAGTCTAGTGCCGCCTCAGTGCCGTGAATCTAGTTTGCGTGTCTGCTTGGTCGTGTGTTGCGACTGCGCATTGCGGCCTAATGACAAAACACTCGCGTACGAGTGCTTGACTCAAAAGATAGCCGAAAGCGTGGGGCATGTACTCATCGTTCCTTCCACCCCGCAAGAGGGTAAATGGAGTCTATCAACCAGATTTGTTAATCGAACATCATTCTGAGATCATCGTCGAGCTGTTCGAAGAGTTAAGAAAACGTGGATCAATGGCCATGATTATGAGGTCTTCGAACCTTCATCCAGCGCTTCATTGCTTTACCCTGCCGCGCTATTTGCTCCGCAACACACAACAGAACGAAAACGTTGAGGTTCATTTCAACTTCCGAGTGCATCTCACGGCAGCGAAGCAATCGCTCAAAACTGCACTAATCAACCCAACGATGATCTGCGCGATGTTTCGCTAGCAACAGAATTTCAGCTTAGGGTGCGAAGACAATAGTTGCAGTAGAGCAGCGCGGGAGGGATAGCGTCAATCATGTACCAAGGTACGACATGCGAGCCTATACCACGTATTGTACGCTCCGGCAGGCCTAAGGCTGTGATCGCGGACAATCAAAAGAATACGAAGAGTGTGAGCCCTGCACATTGGCGTTCGAGCTGCAGAAGAATGCGTTGGGCACACGTGCGGCGACCGAGCTACATGTTCATCGATCCTCGAACGTCGACCGCCCTGATGAGCCGAAGCGTCCCGCTACGAATTCGTGAAAGAACACACCAAAAGCACTGCTCCGGCTGGGAAAGGCACGAAAATGGAAATACTCCGGAGTCGTTCATGGTGGATTCCTTGAATAGAGGCTGATGGGTAAAGTTCACGTTGACTGTGGGGTGAGGGCTAGATTAGTTGGGGTGGTTAATCCACAACCAGAGGGGTGGATCCCCGCTACATTACTTCTAAAAGCAACTCCGCTCCCTGTTCGATGAAGTCTCCTAGCACTCCGGTTACAAGCAGAGAGGCCGGTTGCTGGATAAATGCCTCGACCAACAGAGCCAGCACACACGTGGCCAGCCAATCGGTCGAGGTCGTTCTGCCACGGCGAAGAGCGGCGGACAGAGCACACACACATAACCCATGTCATCATGAAGTCTCTACAGTCTAGTGAATGGTGGGATTTACTTGATCTTGGGTAATGTTGTTTTTATGTACTTCTGCCTCGGTTTGGGATGGCGCAACCTTGTGATCATGGAGAATTTGAGGCTGTACGATTGAAGGGTGGTGTCCAAGAGGAAGAAGTGGAAAGAGGCAGAGAGCGTTGAATGTGAATAGCAAAAAACAGAAACAACTCTTGCGAAGTTCGGGGGGGGTTCTGCGGTAAACGAGGTCAACGGAGCAACAGCTGTTGAGTTGGACAAGAAGAAGCTCACCGATCAAACTTGATGGCGAAGACCATGTTGGTGTAGATTAGACACAGGATGGTTGTGTATAGTGCCCCACTCGCAAGCACTTGCATGCCACGTCGTTGCCGACGACAGCCATGCAACCATGTGTTGAACTCTAGTGCTCGGGTCATCCTCACGGACGCATGATGAGCTCTGCCCAGACATCGTCCAACAGCATCATGCGTGTATAATTCGTGCGAACGTTCATCTTTGCCGTACCAACTGAGGTGTCCGAAAGATGAAAACGCAGATTTTCTTGCTTGGTCTATTTCATGGTGCGGGAGGGACCAACGTTGTGACAGTGCAAAAGAACAGTTCAAGAAACTCCCACACAAAGCGTAAGCCGGTAACTCGACGGCCGATGAAGATAGTGACACCAAAACGATATCAACCAACTGAACTTTCAGCTTTCGTTACGCCCACACCACGGTGTCTCGCCGTCAAACGATGGCAACAATGACCATATCTGCTGCAGATTCAACAACCAAACTGCAGTTTCACGCGAATCGCACCTGTAGCAACGCTGAACAATTTCTGCGGCCATGTGCATTTCCCTGGTGGGCTGCGACCACGCGGCGACCAGATCGCCCTCGATCAATTCGTTCAGAATATCTTCATATTTTCGTTGAACTCCGACCAAATACGAACCGACCAGCGCCACAGCCGCACCAAGAACAGCCCCTGGTCAAGGTTCAGTACCGCGAGCGCGGTGTTGGCACTAGCGCATCAAACGCGACGGTAGCAAGGCATGCTAAAAGCATCGGCCTTAAGTGGCTTCGACAACCGCACTTGAAAAGGAGCAAGAAGGCTTGCAATGGTTTCCCCGTCAGCAGGCGAAGTTGTTGACATCGAAAACGCAAGTGGCCTCGATGAGGTGGCATCAACACGTGCACTCACCCGCTGCAATGGAAGCACTCGAGTTGTACATTAGAACTCCGCACAACGCCAGACCTGGGGCGACCACCGCCTGGAACGTCGTCGTCTGTACCATGATGCGAGCGCTGCGACTCACGACAGCAAAGGCTGACAACGCGCATAACACAGAACACGCCACGCTAAGAGATGTGACCATGTTGTGCAAGAACGCGTACTCATCTCCCCCGGCTGCTTCAGCTTCCCGCGAAATTCTTAGCACCTGCCATTTGCACAGAACACGGTATTGGCATTTCAGTTCAGAACGCGAGGTGAAACAAGCTGAGCATGAGCAGATGTTATTTTGAGAAGTCTTTCCAACTCACCAGGGCACTTCGATTACATTTGTTTTGCGCAAGGTCGTCCACTGTGACATCGTGCCGATGTCCTTGTTGCTGTGCGGGCATGCAGCACGGAAGACACAGGCGTTGAGGAGTGAAGAAAAGCTACGTTGCGTGAAAAAGTGACACCAACATCACGGTTTGTATGTGGGTAAACACTGTTCATCTACCTTTAGTGTGGCACGTCTATCCTGCTCCGGAAATTCACCTCAGATACGAGCATCGCCAGCAACATGGGAAGCGGGAGGTAGACCAGAAGCAGCGTTTTCTGCATCGCCACAACGTCCCTGTAAGCTGCTGTTTGAACGACCGGCGTCGCGTTGGTCGCCGAGAAATAGAACTCGTTGGGTGAGCGTCTTACGTTCGCCACGAACCTGAAGGTATTAGACAAGCCAAAGTCGGCTTCAAATATCACTGGTGGACATTGAACGTGAAAACCTATTTCTATTATTGGGTTGTATTCAATGATACATTCTTTCTCAAACGCATGTTGCTTCTGAAACGTCGAGCTGCATTTAACGGCGAGCTGCTCGGTGTACCTTTTTTCGGGATGCCAAACCCCATGAATTCCACAACAGCAGAGAGGTTGAAAACGTACTGACTGCTCACAGAGTCGGGACCACGTACATGGGTATACATATAATGCGGTGTGACCGCCAATAGCGGGGTGATAGTTCGATAGGACCCGAATGAGTTGTGATGTGTGCATTGGCTGTACACCTTGGTTCTCAACACATGAGTCCCACCCTGTCCCATGTCCACAAGAACCCTACCGTTACTGTGATCGGCCAAGAAAATGTTCTTGGAGAAAGCGTCGCATTCCGCCTTACCTGGTGGGTGCTGTCTTGCGCGGAGGGCTGTCTCGTGGGGCGCTGAAGCCACCGCGATGCATCTGCTCCCGCGCGCTTGAGCGTGCTGTCAACAAGAATAAAAAATAGTGGGCCCAAGCAATTGTTGATCAGGGGAGCATGCTCGGCACGATCCATGAAAGAAATGTTTCTATTAAATCACGCGAACATGTTGGTTCATGTCCCACACACGGACCTTGCCGAAGCTAGCAAGACAAGTAGTACTTCAGGTCAAAGGCATGGCCATGCATGGGTGCGATGCAGGCTGTACCGACACTTGCTGGGACGTATCGACGGAGACCGTTCACCGTCTTGGAGAGCTGTCCGAAAATCGTCCACGCGCTCCTCCTGTTTTCGTTGGAGCTCATCGTAGAGGTCATGGTTGGGGCCCTCTGGTTCCTCCTGTCGGACTGGAACCCTCTTTAGCGTTTGTGATGCGGGTGGGGTGTTGCCAGCCCGTAGCAGAGCTGGGAAAATCACGCCGGTCGGGAGCATCAACAGTGCGCTAATGACCGTCATTTCCACCTGCGCGGAAAATGGAGCGCAATAATCTGGCGTTGCACGTTCCTGTGACAGAGCTTGTATCCATCTACAGGGGCAACGCTTGCGTGTCCAAGTATTGGGCGTTGCATAACACCCTGTCGTCGTAGGGCAGCGATGTGAACAGCAGCATCTCACCTTTTTCCTCACGCCAAACTGACTTTTGCCATAGAAAATAGCCTGCAGCAGAATGGCGCTCATCCAGTCAGCCAGTAGAAGGACAAGGTGCTGAGACCTGCCAAATATGTCGGGGTGTTGGTACGGGATGAATCATCCGTACCTACATACCATGTGAAGATTTGTTGGAAGGTCAAGGTTCTCGAAAGCCTATTCAGTACTGAGGGGCCCCCGACGATAGGAGATTGGACACCACGTCTTCTGGGGCACATCGGATTCGCACGGAATGGGCCACGACAAAGACATGTTCAGTAGCCTACCTTGTGAGTAGCGTCTTGCTGAAATGGGCCGTTGGAGATTCGCTGAGATGCCGCCAAGAGTGGTTGAACAGGACACTCTCAGCCGCTACCTGGATGATGCGTAGCCGTCACGGTGTCCAAAAGTGTTTTAGTACTGATAGTTTTCCTATCAATATTCCTGTCATCCTCGTATACCACTTGAGGCAATTCAGGACCATTAAAGCGCTGTTTGGCATCAGGGGCTCACATCATCTTAATATACCTCCGATAGAGGCATTTGCTCTGCCTAACAGAAGCAACAAGTGCTGTTCTACATAGTTTGCCCGCTGCTTGAACTTGCATGTTGCTGCTCTTTCTGCCACCTGCAATACCCTGAGGTCGAACTACAGGAAGTCAACCTGGCCTTCAGAATAAATGGCCTCGAGGACGCACCTTGCTCATGTTCTTCTCGTTCTTGAAGACCACGGGCATATGGTGGAAGACGTTGCCGTCTCTCTCACGGGCCCGGTCTTCCATCAACGCTTGACGGGCGGCCTGTGCCCTATCACGTACCTGGCAAGAGTTCACAACGTGGGAAGGGTAGGTTTTTGTGAATCAATTGTGAAAGACATGGGCGCCCTTTCACAGGTTGTGCCAGCGCGGGCAGCTTTACTGTGTTACGCAAACCAAACTTCCTGTCTGCTTTCCAACTGAAAAAGTGCGCCGGAATATCATTCACATCTTATCGGACTGCTGATATACACCCCAGAGACGCCCTCGAGTGAAATAAGCACGTACTATGCCCGGTGCAACCGTCCACAAGCTTGGTACTCTATATCATGAACAGTTACCTGTTGGAGGCTAGACCACCAATTATGCTCCGTGACGAACAATATATGGCAGCAAAGGCAAGATCTCTCCGTGTGCTAAAGACAGCATCAGTCTAGTCAATGTGCCGTGTGCCAAAGCTGTTTGAGTCAAACATGTACGTGCACCCGGTTTTTCATGGGGCGTGTTTCGCGACCGCTCCTGCCGCGTGCCAAGTACGTAGTCCAAAGGGCTTCAATGCCGTCACGATGTCGGCCGGGCTTCGTGTCCTACAAGTGCGTGAAAGGTGAAAGCGAAGAACACAGCGAGGTACATAGCCTAGACAAATGAGTCAAACTGGTGCGAGTTAAGCAAGGAGAAGAACAGCGCAACAAACCATAGTCCATGGTCGCAACACGCGTATCAATAGCTTCTCATTCGCGCGGACCTGCGATTTAGACGAGAGGGAGGATCGGAGAGGCGGCAATGAGGTGCCCGACAACCAAGTGGTGCACCCTGTGACCCTCTAACCTTGCGGGAGAACCATGCGGCAGGAATGAGAAGTGCAGCTACGACGCAGCTCAAGAAGAGGAGACCTGCCCAGCTTTCGGCACCGTACTGCCAGGACACACACACGTGAGAATATTGCGGTGGCTCGGTTAGGCTTGTAGTGTGCAATGAACAACGTGATATTTCCTCGTCACTGTCCACTATACCATGCATGCCGTCCACGAAAAGAAAACTCGCCCTTCGCAGACGGTGCGGAAGTGTGATTGCACACGCATGTACATCATCTGAAGGCCTGAAGGCTTCCTGTGCCACCAGTTTGGTAGAGAAAGGTGGGCAAATCATTGAGCATTGGCAACGAGCGGTATTTTGTTTTGCCTGGAATACAGGTTCCAGCGATGTCATTGGGAGAAAATAGCAGGTGCATCCTAAAACTCTTCACGACGTTGAGCAAATGTTGTCCCATACCTGTGCCAGGACAGTGAAGTCAGTAACTAGATCGAGCGTATTCCATTGCGGGGTCGTCGAGTCCACCCGGCTTGTGAACGCCGTGAGATGGTACGTTGCGCATTGGATAACGGCAGCGGTCGAGTCCAGATCCCGTTCCAGCGAACCGAGCACCACTCCATCCGTTTCCCAGCTACCACTCTCTTCCGACCAGTAGCCGCAGCCAAGGTGGCCAACATCACCTTTCTCGATATCAGCTCCAAGATCGATGGCGTCCGGTTCCTATGCACACGGCACAAGCAAGAACATATTTATCAGGTATGTTCTGGAATAGTTGGCCCTTTTACGATCATACTCCGCACGTCCGGCGGGCACTGAACCGGCCAGAGTCTTTCTCGACCATAGCCTATCCTAAGCTCGATTGCGTGTTTTGCGAGTGTACATGTCACCAGAATATTTTGTCAATCTCTGTGTTTCTGTTCCTGTTGCGTGACGGGGCATCTCACCGGAATCGCCATGGACAAGTCGATGGGCCAAGAAAACTGTTTCTCTGGAACTCCCGCCGAATCCCAAGCATCAACGACGGTCACACCGTCCATATCTGCAGCAACATCGGAAGTGCCCAGAGACACGCATTTTGCTTCAGGTAAAGGGACATGGGTATGTCAAGATTGGTCTGTGTAGCAGTGCCCGATTATTTGGTTCACCACAAAGTCTACCAGACGGTTCGTCCACACAGACCTCTCTGTCTGTATGCCACCCGTTTCAAGCTCACGATATCTGTTGAAACAAGATACTTCTATCCGGACCATACACACAGTCGTGTGAGAAATTGGCGAGCGTGCTGCCACCGAGAGTGTTGCTCACCTGATAGGGAGGTTTAAGCGCAGGAGTTGCCCTGGGCTCTACTCGCAGCATTCTTACACCGTCATACCCTAGGGACTCCAATCGCGTGCATTAAAACGAGAAGCTAGAGATGCAACTATCATCTGACAACATTGTTCTGGTGGTACGTCTTATCGAAGACACCGTATCCTACAAAACATGTGTCTTTTCGAGTTCGACTCCGTTAGAGCCAAGGAACAACGAGCTACGTACGGTGTTTAGACGCCACCGTGGAAGGTCAGCATTCGACGTGGGATCCATTTCAATTTGTTGTAAGTGCAGTTTCCGCCGATCGCTACATTATCCTGACCTTACTCGGTGGCCTAACAAGTATTTGACGAGCGATTGCTTCCTGGTGTTTCCAAAATCCAATCCAAGCTGATCCGTTTCTGCAGGAAATGAGGTCGTCTTTCTAGCTTCAGGTTTACGTTACACCAGCACGTGAGAAGACCGGAAACCTTGTCACCTGAGCCTGTGGAGCTGAAACCTGCCACCGAAAACGTCCGCGCGCCACCGAAGTCCTGATCGGAACCGATGGCGGCATCCCATGAACTGAAAGAGATGTGCGTTCCATTTGGTCCTACAGATATGGTTGTCGCTGACATGTCCATCGAATGAACTTTGGCGGGCTGCAAAACGTCAAAGCGACGACAGGGGGATGGGGGGAGCACGTGGAAGAATGCGAAAAAGATATCGTGATCCAGTATCCGAGTGCGCTCGGCAGCAGAAAGGTAGGGCAGGGTCGTCTAGAGCCAGAATAAACCAATCGGAACATGCAGGCACGTCTTCAAAAAGGTACCGGCTGAACGCTCGGTTCTCGAGCGAAGAGATTCCTCTAGCCCACGCTCCGTATTGTTCGGTCGTTGTTTGTCTCGTCGTGGTGCTATGTCGTTTCCAAAACGTGTTGGAAGATCCGCATCCCGTTCCCTTGTCTGCCTCGACCTGCGGGGACGCCGTTGGTATATCTACACCCAGAACCACGGAAATATCACGACCGATTCAAACGCACCTGCACGACCAAAGAACCCGCGCTCGTCTCCCCCAGCTCCTCTTCCGCTTCGGATCCGAAAGCCAGGGCGTTGCCAACGTCGGCAAGGAGGGCTAATTGGTCCCCATTCTCGGCGAAAGCTGCTCCCTCGTTGGAAGTGGTAGGAGAAGCGGACAGTCCATCGAAAAGCGCGGACGTCACCTGCGAATGGTGAACGAAGCGTTGCTGCTGGGTCGCACATGACGAGAACTAAGCTTAAACCCGAAACACGCATGCGCTGTCTGTTCCACCGTAACTAACCCAGCGTTTCACGCACTCACCAACACCAACGATACGGCGGCGGCATCGTCAAGAACTGCTCCGTGGTTGGCCACTCTATCCACCATGTCTGCAGCGGCGCTACTTGCTTCAGACAAGGTTGATTCCGCGGATGATCCGATTTCCTGTGCCGGGTGGTCAAAAGGTAGAATGTCCGTTGACAGCATACGCTCGATTTCTTGCACACCAAGAATCGTGGTTTGATTCTGTTCGAAGTTGTCGCGTTTGACGCGACAATGCCACGATTAGCCACATTCACGTGAAGTATATTACGGGTCCAGTGTCGAAAACCTTGTGACATTGACAATTCCACCAGTAGAACGTGCTTATTTCCGTTGTCTGGGCTTTGGTGTGACGGGTGTCAACACAGAACATGATGTAGCCATAACAATTGGCTTGATTGGGCCTATTTCACGAGTACATAGATTGTAGCCTTTGAAACTGTACTCACCAAAATGTTCACCAGAATGCTCCCCTCTCCTAGCCCATAACGCACACATACCAGAGGCAGGCAAACGTCTGGTACCCCCCGAGTCATACGGCGTTCACCACGTGGTTCTTTTCGGTGGTGCACAAGCGCTCCCCACTATCCCCTTAATAATAAACGCAGCATGACAACACTTCAACGTACAGCTGAAAGAAGCAGGGCTTCCGCAAGAGCTTGAGACCCTGATGCGATACTGCTCGATGTTCCTTCTAGCGAGAAATAAGCCTTGACGATAAGACCCACGATATCCGCCTGGAGTAGTTGGTGGTGAGTGCCAGTTGGAATTTTTTTCTTGTTAGCAGAACGATCGTTAACTCAGTTGAGAAGCGGGTGTGGGCAAGGAAGTTCCTTAGCGCACTGTTGTTCATTTCACAACGTTGCTCGTCTCATGTACGTGATGCGTCTAGCCGCTAGATCGTTGGCTACCTAAGGTACGACTGGAAGTGAGGAACAAAGAACGGCTAGACCTCGAGCACCGGGCAGCCTGATAAAATGGAAGACACATTCTTTCTATATTCGTGCGCATCGACATTTTTCAAGCGAAAAGGCGCAGCTGTGAGTACACGCAACAACGACGGAGGGGCTGCTGAACCCGTCTCGCATTATGAAGGGAAGCACCGCTGGAGTAAAGGCAGGAAATTCCTCCTGTGTGAACATCGCTGGTGCGTCAAAAATACTAAAAGGTGTAGGTTGGCGCCCAGAACTGGTGAAATGACGAAACGATTTGAACCAAAAGGTTTTTTGAAACAGCGCATGGATCCCACCTTGCAGCCTCGCGCGAGTGGAGGTGAACACTTCAGAAAACTCATCTTTCACTCTCACCCCAAGTTGCCGAAGACAGAAGGAGGACTGTCGGAAAGCCCTACCGTGGTGATGTGTTCTCACTACTGATACTCTGTGATCCCCACCTGAAGGGAACTCGTGCTTTCGACACCGTCCGACGTTGTGAGAGGCACGTGTTGGAGTAGAGCCGTCGCGACACGCGCGTCTCGCAGAGTGTCCTCGGGATAGGGCAAAGATCCATTCTGACACGACGGCTCGCCTGGATAACACGTCAGGTTGTATGCCAACGGCAGCAGAGACGCCTGCGTGCAGGCATCACCGGTGGATATTGCCATATTTGGAGTGTGGGACAACCGGTGGAGTGTGTCGTGATGTACATACGAAGTGATGTTCCTTGAAAGTCTATTTTACTCGCAGCAAGTATTCCGCCAGCGGTTGTTTGACGTTAGACCCTCAACCGTTGCACACGGGTATGGTGGGTCCTCCTGGAAGTGTGCCAGATCCAGTACTTTTCCAACTATCTCGCCAGTTATCTCGCCAGATATCTAGTTTCCCGGGGTATCCATATTTCCCCCATTTCTGACCCTAAGACCCAGGATACCTGGCGAAATGGATACACCAGACTACCACGGGTGTATTCATGTTGAGCCCGCGGTTAACTCCTCTCAACGCCCAGTTTCAAGGGTTTTATCCGCGAAAAGTTGGTGTCCGTCGGCCGCTCACCTCCTCTGGTGCAACGGATGTTACTACCATCGGTGCTCCATCTTCTCCGAGGTTTGTTGCTGCCGTGGATCCTAGCGTATCCGACGCTGACACCACAATTGTAAGGTTGAACTCATTACGTGATAGACCAGCCGGAACGTTGGTGGTGAGGGTAGTTGAAACCGACGGAGAGGAAGACAGCCGGTTCACGAGCGCCGATTCGCTGCTGACGCAAAGACGAAGGAAAGACATGCCAAGAAGGCAACGGCCATCAGCTGGACGGGAATAAGCAAGTGGTTGCTGTTGATGTGTCTGGGTTCACTCTACGATACTGCGCCTTGCAAGATACACGGACCCAGGTTCAATGACGCACGGGCCTCGAGAGCCAGCGCAGCTGCATCCTACCCAGTTAAGCGCGTTGCAGACTTGTAATCCCACCTACGTAATATTATTTCACCGGGGTTGTCGCGGGCACCCTACACTGCTAAACGTGCACTACGGCGGGCTCTCGTAGTGCGAGAGAGGAGGTGGAAGCCGCAACAACGGGAAGGATCCCCCCATTGTGATTTCATTCGGCCCGGCTTCACAATTCCACGATACCTTGCGATGGCGATCACTTCGTGGTACCCTTGGATGTATCCAAAGGAGTACGTGAGCGGAAGGTCGTCAATATCATCCGTCCACCCCAGGGTCTGGAGTACCACCGGATTCACACCAGCGGTTGCAGATAGTCGATCCGACTTCAAGTGCCCCCCAGAGGGCGGGGCGTTTGTCTCGAACGAAAACTCTGTCATGACGAAGGGGGAAACAATGGCAATTACGACGTAGGGATACGAATCGAGATGAGTCTTATGTAGAAGCACGTGCGGCTAAGATAGCAACGACAGTCAGTGGTTCGGGTCGCAAGAGACAAACAAAATGTCTTCTTTCGAACCACAATTCTCCGCAAGCAGATTTGATGGACATGCAACATGACTCGCCCGTTTTGGCCGACATCCCTTGGAGAGGGTGCGGTGGAACAGACGGAAACCTGGGCAGATCGGATGAACCCATGCACGCTGCTTGGTGATACATGTCAGCGGCCTACCTGCGTAGCCGACGAGCCCGGATGCATCCGTCGCAGAGAGAGAGAAGCTGTAAACCTGCCCGGCGCCGAGGGCACCTTTTCGGGTGACGAGAGTCCGAGCGTTTACAGGTGTGCTGAATGCCTTGGTCCACCCGTTTCTGAGATCGAGGTTGCCATTCTCCTGGTGAAACGTGCAACGGCGGGGTATGTGTAGGGAGCCTGTCGGTGTCGAATGCGGGTGGTGGCTGTACCCAGGTAACGGCGAAGAAGAATAACGTAAACGTACCTGAGTTCCGGAGCGTAGTGCGCGTTGCACTGCTTACCTGTCGCCACGTTAGCCCGAACGAGGACGACGTCGAGGAATCGCATGGCCCCTCCGGAGAAGACGATGCACAGGCGTAGAGGACTATCTTTTCCGAAGGGTTGTACTTGCGTAGGATGGTCTACGAAAAGACAGAGCAAACACAACAGAGCGCGTTAGCTCACCCCATCCAACGGTGCATTACTGTAGACAAGCCAACCTCGAACGCCAGCAAAACGTTCACTGTGTGCTTCTTGTGAAGTCCAGAGAGGGGGGGCAGAGCATGCTGTAATCGGCTGTAGTCCCTTCGTACCAACGCTTGAACTTGTTCCGTATTCAGACGAGCACCGTGCAATTACAGCTACATGTGCCGGCTCTTGTGTCCAATTTGATGGGTTTGTACCCTTCACTATGAATAGTACAAACTCGTCAAAAGCTTTCAGGTTCACGAAAAGCGCGGAGTATCTCTTGGCAGTTGCCCAGAGAGCTTTTCAGTTTGATGTACGTTCGGTCCTGCATCTACGTACGTAGTTCCAGGGACTCACACTTTTTGGCAATATCTTGGATGCAAACACCCTTCGAATCTCTGCAAACTGTCGCATCTCACAACGACCAACATCCTCACAAGGGATTACGAGAATCACCGTACGCGTCAAGCCCCTGGTTTCTGGTATACTGGCACAAGAGCTTCTTGAAACGAACCTTGGGAGATATGGACACGTTCGGTATACTCTCTGCGAAAGTAGAGATTGTACATGCAGTCTGGTCGCTTCGGACTTCACTCAGATCCCCCGTATCGAGCTCTCCCTTCCAGATACTGACACCAAAACGGTAGTGGACACCTGCAGGCAAGACGTTGGACAGATGACTCAGGATACCCACACGAAACTTTTATATGCTGCGAAAGTTTGGTGACGGTCGTTTTTCAGGTTCTACCTCAGGGCCCGATTTGGGTGGAGGAGGAAAACGTGTTGATTGCCATCAGCCCACCTCAGCACCACTCAACGCGTGATGTATACCCACCAATAGGAAGAGTGTCAGCAGGGACGATCAGCAACCCTCCGCTAGCGAATGAGTCGAAATCCAGGGATGCTGCGCTTCGCGACTGGCAAACCGCTCCGGCTTCGTCGGTGCAATTCCATCTGAACTCGAAGGGGAGCTGGTCCACCTGATCGTTGTCTACCGACTCTGACGCGTTCAAGTAAAGAGTCTGGGGGGCGGACAGAATTGTGACTCGTCTTCGCCCTTCACGGGTCAATCCAGAGTTGGCCGCAGTGCAAAAGAAAAGGGCCAAATAATTCCATCGGTGTACATGACCAAAGGTGTGCACAGCTCGCGAAACTACACCCTACGCATCAAGCTCAAACAAAGGGCGTACCTGCGAAGCGCCTAGCCTCCTCGCCGTTCCACCAGCTATGTAAGCGATGATAGCTCCACTGACGACCTCAACTTCTCGAGCAGTGCGTGGAAAGCACCGTCGGGTCAGCGCACAAGGCCCAAGCGGGAACGCGGGGTATATTACTTCAACCTACGATATTCCTGGAATGGTACAAACCCAATCCCTCGATGCACGATACACAGTTCATGGGTACGTCCATGCTGCCGTCTGAAGAGACGCGTGTCTATGCTTCTTTTCTCGTCGTATGCTTTGCTGCAAGGACCCACCTGTTGCGGTAGCCGACGTAGCGCTCTGGATACCGTCAGCCAAATCCACCCGAAAGACATACGCACTTCCGGCGTAACCCAGCGTGTATGGAGGAAGTGTGAGAACGCTGGGATTTCTTCCGCTGGTCAGGACAATGGGCGGAAAGTCCGCCGTCGCACTGGATTCCGACAACACGGTCCAAGCGTACGTGTTGTTGCCGTTTTCGACGCGAGGTAGGGACACCTCGGTACGGATGGTGAGCTGGAGACCACGCCAATGCTTCCGCGATGCCGACCCGGCGATCTGTATTCCAACGACGTTAAGCGCGCGGGAGAGAGGAGAGACGAGGAACACGGTAGGTGTGCTGAACGTCGTAGATGTGTTCAGGCGGAGGGGCGTAGTTCTCCCCAATACAGGAGTGTTTGATGCTTGAACGGATGGCAGCTTTCCTAGAAATGTAGGCAACAAGGTATCGAGGCCACGGATTTTGTCACCTTATTGCTGACGTCCTGTGGTCTACAGTAGTCAATAGAAGAAAGCCTGTTTCAGTCGGAAACGATCAACACATGTCGCACCCTCAAAGCGGGAAGTGCTTCAGCGGACTTGAAAACTTCGACGCTGGCCTCTCCCGACACACCAAGCGCTGACTCGACGCGCAGGCCGAACGTGTACGTAGACCCTTCATCCAAGCTAGTGCTGGGTAGCGTGACGACAAAGCCTTTGGCAGCGGCAGCCTGTTGTGAAGTGACGAGATGAACGGTGTTCAGCAGCGGCCTACCTCAAACATGTCGGCATATGTCTTAATTGTACGTTGGCCAAAGGCGTGTTGTCGATCCATACCGACATACCTGCAATACGGATGCATTTGCCAAATGGCGATATGCTGGCAGCAGACTGCAAGATGTTCCAGCTGTGCAGCGGATATATTTGTATCAGACCTGAGCTCTTGCTGCTCGTCTGGACATAGCAGTATGCGACGACTTGGTGTGGCCTTCGCTCTTGGTCGTCCAATTTTTCACTCTTCCTACCATCTTCGTCGCGGTTGATACAGAGTGATTTCGTGGAGGGGTTGCACCAAACTGAAAATTCTCCTTCATGCCTGCTAACGAGCGCCCTACTGGTAAATCAAACTCACCTGTTCAAAGGCTGCTCTCGCATCGGTCAGGTCGAACGTTCCGTTGCCATCTGTGGCCTCGATAGTCCAGTTCAACTCGATATCTAGATGGCAAGCACCGGTGAACGAGGAGAGCGCAAGAAAAGGCCATTTGAGTATTCCAAAGAAGATATTGCCCCGTGATTCTTTAACGATACATAGCGTCTTCTGTTGTCACTGAGTACAATTTCGCAAATGCACACTCGCTTGGACCGGCGAATGCAAAGGTTCTTGTCTCCCTTGGTTGGCCAAAAAAGTACCTATTTCCCGGATAAAGTACACGTTACACACGAGTCGATTCCGCACCCCGCAGCGCTGCCTTTTTGTAGCTGGAGTTGAACTTGATAAGAGTTCAGGACCCAGAATATGGGGTGGGTTCTGGCGAGAGTACACCAGCGGCTATGTCATGCCTACGTTCGTGTGTGCGCGGCGTTCGATTTGCCTTGGTGATGTACGAACGTTCCATACACTGGCAGTTCCCTTGAAAACACCGCAAGTTCCGCGACATTGCAATATACGACCACCCACGCTCTCGACGAACCTGTGGAAGGGTAGCTCCCAACGCCTTCCAAGATCAGGTTCGAACAGCAACCCACCACTTCCGGAGCGCTGATTTCCACCACCGGTTCGTTTGGATTTAACGCCGGACCGACCGCCACGCATCCAGGTTCCGACGAAAGAAAAGCCTCCATCTATGGGAGGGTATGCGAATGTGTTTCGGGGTTACGTACATTTCTTCAGGCACGTCTTCTCTACACTTAAGATGGCAGGGGTTCTCCCTGGTAACTCGTACCCGGACAATACTTAACTCAGAGTCGAAGCATTGCATTGCTGAAACGCGGCAACACCGCATGGCACTAGGCGGTCCGAGCTGGTCCGGATACTCTGATATTGGTAGTGTAAATGCCCACCTCCGTGCGAACTACTCCTCCCAGTAACGACAGCGAAGTGCCGTCGCCGTCGGTGCAATTGGAAAAGCTCGAGGGCCGGATCGTGTAGTGAAATCCGAGCGTGATCTGAGTGTGTGTGCGAGGACCGTCAAAATCAAGGTTTGGTGGTTGTCCGCGATAATGCGCGGTTACGGCTACGCAATCACCAAAGGTACCTGGCAAGGCACGTCGTACAGACACGTTGTTGTCAACCCCATAAAAAAAATGGTGCCTGAACGGAATGGGGCGTGCTCTCCTTACCCTATCTCACACCTCTGGGCACCTTCGGTGGAACTATTGTCTCGCTGAACTCGTTAGGCCCTGAGTATAAAGTCCCTCCTCTTCACTGTCCTCACCGCAAGGGTCGACGCGGAAGTGAACTGGCTAGTGCAGCCTATGCCCAACGTGACCGCAGAGGTGTTGGAGAAAACCTCCTCGCAAGCCGCGGGAGCATAGTTACCGTTGACTTCCCGCGAAGATTCGCTCCCTTCAAAATACACAAACACCTGCAGGTACAGCAGAGAACGCTCACCGTGAAATGCGTATGCGCAGAACCAAATTAATTTCTGACGACACCGTTAACCTCTGGGTGTATTGAAACAAGGTATCTGTGATTCATTCAGGGAAAAATCAGCCCATCAATCAACCTCTGGCGGAAGTAGGAAAAGGCGCCGCTCTCCAGCACATCAGCCGGAAGCAATCACCATCAGGGACGGGCAGCTGCTTATTGGGCAGTATTCTGACAGCAGCTTGATGGAATTGTCAGCGTTCTCGGCCGCAGCTTTCAGGTTTCCAGTCGACAATATGATTTCGAAAGTGAAGAACCAACCCGATATCGATTGGCCTACAGCACGGAACCGAAGAACCAAATTTTACTCCCGACCAGAACACCGCATGATAAGAGCAACCGAGCGCCACAGAAAACGCATCAACAGGAGCCTCCAACACTGTCGAATGCCTTGTAACAATCAGAAATGGACCGCTGCATACTATGGACAGTACTCCGTGCGTGTACACCGAGGAAGGCGTTTGCTAATCCATGGACACAAAGCCTATCATTTGTTATGAGCAAAAACATTTTGTTGTGGGGCAAACCTGTTGACCGGTGTCTGAAAACCGCGCAGACGACAGCTCTGGCGGGAGCATGCGACCCTGCAGAACCACCGATCCTAACGATGCATCGAGATGGGCAAATGCACGTCGGATTTCCGATAAAATTGAAATAGGCTAACGGCAGTGAGAATCGTAAATGGCACCTCGCTATTAAATGATGTAGTGGCAAGAAGGCCGTAGCACTTTGCAGGCAACCTCGAAGGCACCCCTCGACAGCGAAAGAAAGATGCTCATGCACGCACCCGATTTACATTTGGACGTACAACATGAATGTGTAGCTCCCTACAGACTAAAACAAGAGCAGATGCAACCCAAAGGAGCGAAGAAGAAAAGCAAACCTCACCCTTCCTTCGATAAAGCTAGAGAAAAGAAAACAAGCCTTCAGAAGCAAGAAAAACGACCGAAAAAACAAGAGCCATGTGTTGTATATATTGCTATGCATTGCTGACCCCTCCCCCTGGCCCTCTGCGTAGAGCTGGTACGGTCATCAGCAGCAGCACGTGTACAACTACCGGTGGTATGAGGCCTGTGCATGGCGTCTGTGTGTGTGTCCATTTTTTTCGGCATCGACCGCGCTAACCGACTGACCAATGACAAGAAGCCAGTCTCAGTACGGTTGAACAGAGAAAATAAATGGTTCTCAAGGCCATGATACGGGACCCTGCTTGGTACAATACATGCGTGCGCAACAAATTTTCGCTGCACTTTCCCGGTACGCTCTCCGGGGGGTTGAGTAACATATATCAAATGTTTTGGCATGGCGCCAGATGATAGTATGAGGTAGTGCCGTGCTTCCCATCACCTGTGGCGTATTCGGTGCAGCCATTACAGCCAGCAAGGTACTCGCCCGAAGGGTTCAACGTGATGACGGATTGTTCGCCCAACGAATAACCTGCGTAACAGGGTCGCATGAAAGGCTGACGTCATCATGCTAAACGGTAGCGCCTATTTTAAACAGTGAATGGCTGGCCTCAGCTTCACTCATCGTCTTGACTGTTTCCAGTGCCGGCGGGTGTTGTTGGACGCAGCATGTCTAGCATGCGGGCGCCTCGTGCTCCGTCAGTACAACGGACGAGTAAGTGATTGCTGGCGTTTGTCGTGGTAACCTCGAAGCTACCCTTGCAGATTGAACCGGCCGTGGCATGCCAATAACACCACGCAGAGGCCATATTCGTGGTATCGTCAGAAAATCGAGAGGTTAACCTTCGCCAAAAACGACTGTTGCCGTGGTTTCGTCCGTCCAAGCGCACGATGGGGCGCTGCCTAGGCTCGCCACCGTGTCTTCGTCGAGCAAGTCGCCCACGGTGCACTTAGACCCGACGCACGTCCCTCCATTGCACCACAGTCCTGATGAAGCAGCAGCGTCATATTTGCTCTTCCAGTCAAAACTATGGCTGATTCACCTCTTCATCCGTATTTACACCTATGACTGTGGCTAAACAAATGCTGTTCGGACCTTTTTCCGTCTGCCCCTGTATTCTTCTCGCACGGTTTTGAGAACAATGTATGTGTGTGGGTAGGGGAAATGCGTTGTTGTCCGTAACCCCAACGTGCATCAAAAGCAAACATCAGGCGTTAAGGATTCTCTGCACCGGATAACATTGTGGATTCGGTAGAATGCACGCAAAATCTCATCCAATACCTGAGCTGGTTATCCCGAGTCCAAACGCTAAGTCCATCCCTATCAAGGCCGCCGCCAGCCTAGCCTCCTCGAGCTTCGGGCGCGATGATAGCATCGTTGGCCCGGGCGTCGTTGTGGGTGTCGGGGATGGTGTTGGTGAAAGGGTCGGTGCCAGAGTCGGTGCCAGAGTCGGCGCAAGAGTCGGCGCAAGAGTCGGCGCAGGAGTCGGTGCCAGAGTTGGCGCAAGAGTCGATGTAGATGTCGGCGCAAGAGTCGGCGCGGGAGTCGGCGCGGGAGTCGGTGCCAGAGTTGGTGCCGGAGTCGGCGCGGGAATCGGCGGTGGAGTGGGTGCCAGATTTGGCGCAGGAGTCGGCGCGGGAGTCGGTGGTGGAGTCGGTGCCAGAGTCGGCGCAGGAGTCGGTGCAGGAGTCGGTGGTGGAGCCGGTGCCAGAGTCGGCACGGGAGTCGGTGCCAGAGTCGGCGCGGGAGTCGGCGCTGTGGTCGGTGCTGTGGTCGGTGCTGGTGTCGGTGCTGAGGGGTCGGCGCACGCAATCGGTGCAGGCGTTGGTACTGGGGCCGGCACTAAAGTCGGCGTGGGAGTCGGCGCGGGAGTCGGTGGATGGTCCAACTTTCACTAGGTTGGGGCATTTCGGTACTCACGGTGTACGTAGCATGTCGATGAAGGGTCACGACAGTTGTAGGTTGATGACAGGCCGCAGATGTAGGCCGCATCAACGCAATCGCATTCGCAGCCTGATGATCAGGGTGGTTGTTTGGTGACGGACATGCAGGAAAGTTAGGACGCAATAGACGACAACGTCGAATAGGAAACGCTCAAAGCTATAGGAGTGACCAGCGGTCAATGAGCAGTGAGCGAGGGTACATTCAACTCAACGAGCACACACGGCTTGGTTCATACTCACAGTCTCCGCCATCCCATTTGCATTCCTCGTTGTTGTTATCGGCTGTTTGACCTGGTGAGCTGTAACCTGTTGAGGCGGAGCGCCGGCAGAGCAAGAGAGCGTGACGCGTCATCGGGAGTACGGCTTTGCAAGATGCAATCCAGACAGGGCGCTCGACGCGAGCCTCTCTACTGCCTATAGGTAGAGGCTGTACGTGTTGACTATTAAAGCCTGTTCAACATGAGCGCCGCCCTTCCAGACTCACCGTCAATGTCATCACAAATGCCATCGCCTATCCAGTCTTCGTCCCCACCACATGCTGCATGGAGGGGAATCATGGGATGTGGGGAGGATGACATTGGGGCGTTAGAAACCGACCTACGGACATGTGGCGTTAACCCAAAGACCCGTTCACCGAAAACCCTCTTTGAAGCGAGGACAATTCGATTCTGCGTTCGCTTTGTGTCGCTCGGCAAGCCTGCCATATCCATTGTGTACTGAGGAGGGTGGGTACGGGAGCACTCAACAATACCGACTTAGCGGAATCTCCACGGAAGAACATTAAAGCCTCCATGGGAAGCTGGTGCAGTGAAGAGCACCTACAATAGGGTCAAGATAAACGTGTGCGTGTTCTTCTCCCTCTCTTGTTCCCCAGCAGCTTCTCTGTACTGGTTTCATCACATAGGTATCTCTATAAGGGAAATATAGCGACAGAAGCTGATTCTAAACGCACACCTTGTGTGGGAGCGGGGGTGGGAGCGGGAGTGGGTCCACACACAATGTCCATAACCACGAGGCCGCCAGTGTCTTCGCTTGCTGCCATAGAGATGAAGAGCCTTTCCGTGGTGCTGGAAACGACAAACCCAGCGATGACCCCAGACACAGTGTTCGTTTCGCTGTTGAGATGAACCGCGACCCCACCAGATAATTCCCCAGTGGAACTGTCTCGCTGGAACACTACAACCTGCGGCGTATGGGGAGGATTATTGTACAACGCTCATGAGCACTATGGACGTACAGATGTTCCACGTCTCGGTCAACTTTTGAGACTAGACGAGCAAAAAACGTTTTCGTCGGGCAGGATCGCACTTCCTGTCAAGGGGCACCGCTGACACAGTGCAAAAGGGTGCCACAAGAAAAAAAAACAGCGGACGGGTGTCTCTGATAGTACAACCAGTCCGCGGATCGTAAGAGTATTCTTCGGTGCCCCGATAACCACTAAAGTTTCAATGCTGAGCACAGTACATACCAACTTCGATACACCCCGAGAGGCCACAATAATTTTTCCAGCTAGTGTGGTGCCTCCAGAGAAAGAGCGTGCAACAGTCATTGAGGATGCTATCACCACGCACTCCTCCATGGTCCGCCATAGATCTCGTTTCGGGCAGATGCATTTTTCCACCCCGTAGTGGCTCGCTGATGTTTCAAGGATGTGCATACCTCGTCAGATTCATGTCGACCGATCAAGACCGTAAGCTCGAGCGCCTGCGCTACGAACACCTCTCCGGAAGTGCTTCCGCTTATGCTTGAGTCAGCGATGAAGGTGGTAGTCGACGTCACGACGCCGTTCGCGGCATCTAACCGTAGGTGAATGACCACAGATGCGGCACAACCAAGGACATAGACCTGTTGGGGCGGGGGGGGTTCCGTTCTACATTGGCGGTGGACACGTCCATGATATCGCATTTTCTGCCAACTCGGCAGTAAACTCGTAAATGAAGTACGGATTGAACTTGGTCGAATAGTCCCCAAAGAAGCAAGAGAAGCCGAACGGGCATCTCTCCGCGCCTCTAGCTTGTCACCCGTGCATGTTTCATGGCCAGAGCCAAACGTAGGATCCGACACACCCACGATAAGTTCATTGCACAGCCCAGGGTTCTCTGGTGGCCCGTGATACAGGTCGAGGTAGTCTGTCGTCTGGGCTGTTGCCGAAGGATTGGTGCTTGCATTTTAGGTATTCACAGTCTCGACCTATGTACTTGGATCTCACCGAGAGTCCATCCGGTGACACCATGATGTCGCAAAGCTCCCCGTCAGGTGCCGCTGAAGACCAAGTCGGCTCCTCGGTGCCATCGCTATTGACCGCCAATACAACTTCGTCGGTTGTGGAAACGTAGAGGGTCGAACCGTCGGGGCTGAAAGCAACGGCTTGGACGTCGTGATATGATGAGTCCTTCCCTAAAGTGGGAAACGTTGAGGTTGTCCTTGGCGCAAACAGTCATGATGGCAGCAAGCAACACAATAAGCAAAACCAGTTAGTTTCATTTGAAGAAGCCAAGAAGACGCAAGGTGTGCACAATGCAAGCCGAAATCAAACCATTAGACTAGTCATTGAATAGTCTAATGGTTTGATTTCGGTTTACGAAAAAGTTAGTCGTGGGGTTTGTGAACTCCGGCACTTTCACTTCCGAGGAGGGCGACTCCCCTTGCCGGCGCACCTATCAGTCCAATCATTATTTAGTTCGCTTCATTTCATTCGTCTACTCATATCCTGTAGAACGTTCTACTTC